TCTATGCCCAATGTAAGGCTTGAACTCATGACCCCAAGAGTCACATGCTCTACCAACTGAGCCAGCAGGGCACCCCCAATGCCCAGTAGCTTTATTCTTAATAGATAAAACCCAGAGAATGAATAACCAAAATGTGGTATGTTTACACAATGGAATATTCCTCAACAATAAATAGGAACAAACCACTAAAACACACAACTCTAATGAATCTTAAAACATGTGCTAGGTGAAAGAAGCCAGACATAAGTGCTTGTATTGATGGTCCCATTTATATAAAGTTCTAGAACAAGCAAAACAAATAGGTAACAAGTAAAACAAATAGGTAACAAGCAAAACAAAAAGTAATAGGATAGTACCCGCCTCTAGGAGATGGGAAAGGACAGACCAAGAAAGAACACGAGACAATATTAAATGCAGGTTTTATTATTATTCAGGTATGGTGAAGCCAATAGATCAGAAGATGGCTGCCATTAAAGAGTTTGTTACTCACAGTACCCATGAGGCCACTTCACACTATGCAAGGCCACATGGGTAAGCACGAGGGTCAGTTAGGAGGCAGGAGGAGCCAGAGGAAAACCAGGGTAAGAGACTTTATTGTGGTTTGAGAGAAGGAACAGGAAAGGTGGGTAAGCAGGCCTAGGATTGGCTAGTTTGAATAATTTCAGCAAGCTCTGGGATGTCAGGGCTGTCCCAAGTTGGTAGCACATTCCCTGAGGTGATAAGGGCAGGGGAATATTGGCCTGGAGCACAGGAGCCTGATAGAGAGAGTGGGTGTGGATGGTCTCTGGATTGGTCAGTTTGCACATATGCAGGGCATGCTCACTGGCAAATCATTTACTATCTCTAGAAACTGGTTCTTGCCGGGATGAGCAGTCTCTCCATGGTCAATAAGGTCCCTGATGTCAAAACATCAGAATAAAAAGACATACTTGGAGGTGGTGGGTTGCTCAGTTGGTTAAGCATCTGACTCTTGATTTTGGATCATGTGATGATCTCATGGTTTGTGGGTTCGAGCCCTATATCAGGCTGAGTGCTCACAGCAAGATGTCTGCTTGGGATTCTTTCTCTCTTTTCTCTGTTTCTACCCCTCCCCTGCATGCGATCTCTCTCTCTCTCTCTCTCTCTCTCTCTCTAAACGAACATTTAAAAAACAAAATAGAGGGGCGCCTGGGTGGCTTAGTCGGTTAAGCGTCCGACTTTCGCTTAGGTCATGATCTCGCGGTTCGTGGGTTCGAGCCCCGCGTCGGGCTCTGTGCTGACTGCCAGCTCAGAGCCTGGAGCCTGTTTCAGTCTGTGACTCCCTCTCTTTCTGACCCTCCCCTGCTCACGCTGTCTCTCTCTCTCTCCTAGAAATAAATAAAAATATTAAAATAAAAACAAAAATAAAAATAAAAAAATAGACATCTTAATACACAAGGAACATTCTGATAATGGAAATGCTATGGTTTAGATGGGTGTATGCATTTGTCTGCCTCATGACCAATGCTGGTCTTTCCCTATGTAGCCTTGAATGATGTGATAAACCTCCTCCTCTTGGGAACTGTGGGTAACAAACCATCTTTTTAAAATTCATCAAGCCAAGGGTGACTGGGTAGCTTAGTCAGTTAGTGTTCAACTCCTGATTTTGGCTCAGATCATGATCCCAGGATTATGGGATCTCTCTTTCTCTTTCTCCCCAAAATAAAAAATAAGAAATAAATTCATCAAACGATACACTTAAACACCTGCAACTTACCTCTTACAGACACTAATTTAATCTCCTGATGTCAATTAAATACTTTTTATCCTAATTCTCTAATATTCCTGAGACTATGTAGTGCATTACCAAACATCATAGATCTAGCCTTATTCACTGCGTCTTAAATCTTTCTGGCTCTAACATCAACTTTAGGAACTTGACGTTAGGAGAGGGCAAAAGTTTCATCCTTTGACTGAGACACAACTCAAAGTGACCTCTTGTGAGCAGAATTTCTTTCAGGTCTTATATATTAACTAAAAATGTGTATAGAGGTGTCTGGGTGGCTCAGTGGGGTAAGCATCCGACTCCTGATTTGGGCTCAGATCATGAGTTTGCAGTTTGCAGGTTTGAGTCCTGCACCAGGCTCTGAGCTGACAGTACAGAGCCTGCTTGGGTTTCTCTCTCTCTCTCTGCGTGTTCCCCCTCCACTCTCATATTAGATTTGGACATGAAAAATAATAAAAGAGAGGTAGCATCTCCCAAAGACTTTCATTGCAGCCATTTAGAAATATCACAATTCTAACACTAAATAAAGTATGGAAAACACAATCTTAGAATATAAATTGTATGGGGCACTTGGGTGGCTCAGTTGGTTAAGCGTCCGACTTCGGCTCAGGTCATGATCTCACGGTTCATGGGTTCAAGCCCTGCGTCGGGCTCTGTGCTGACAGCTAGCTCAGAGCCTGGAGCCTGCTTCAGATTCTGTGCCTCTCTCTCTCTGACCCTCCCCTGCTCACGCTGTCTCTCTGTCTCTGTCTCTCTCTCTCTCTCAGAAATAAATAAAACAATAAAAAAAAGAATATAAATTGTATAATATATAGCTTTAAAAATACTCATTGCACTGTATTTTTCCCACTCAGTGCAGATCAGTGAAATCTATAGGACAGAACTAGCCAGCAGGTCCCACCTAAGTCTCCACTTAGCCAAAGTCTGACTAAACTAGGGCCATCCACCAGCCCATATCATCAAGCCCCAACCCCACCACATTTTCATTAATCTTCAGCAGATAATGCAAACCATTTGGCAGAAATTACCCAATATTCCTCATGAAAAGACTCATCTTTATGCACACTTAGCTTTGGCTTCTGCTCTCCATTTTTAATAGAAGAGGTGTTCTTCCACCTGGTTCTAGATTCCATAAGTTTCTATCTACTTAGGGATGCTAAGTCCATCACCAATCCCCTCCTCCAGCTATAGGGGATTAATATTATTTAACATTCCTCCCACTGAGAGGTGGGGTTCTATGTACCCTCTCTTTAGATTGTGATAGCTGTGACCAATAGACCTACAGGAGAAGTAGCACTGGACCAATTTCTGGTCCCAAGCCTTAAGAGAGTGGCAGCATCCTCTTCCTGTTTCTTGGAACACTCTCTAGGAGCCCTGAGCTGCCATGTAAAAAGCCTGACTTCCATGCAGGAGAAGCTTCAGTTGATAGCCCCAGCTGAGCTTAAACTTCTAGCTTCCCTCCAAAGGCTCCAGACATAATGTCTTAGACCATCCTTACTAGACCATCCACTAGCTGAATACGACCAAGTGACCCTAGTTGATGTCTAGTAGAAAGAAGAATTGCCCGCTGAGCCCTGCTCAGATTGCTAATCCATTAAACCAGGTATCAAGCCAATAAATTTTGGTTTCATTTTTTACATCATAGATACATCATTTTTTATACCATAGATCATCAGAGCATGAATATCTTCATGACCTCTGTCTCTCTTCCAGGTATTTTCTTTTGGAATAAAAAACATATTCAGGTCTGGCCCAATCTTATCAACATTTTTCATTTTACCCAAGATCCCCTTTTATGTATCACACACACTCATTTTCTCTTTCTTTAATTTATGCTCCCATCTTTCATATTCCATCTTTCCTCAATGGTGTTTCTTCCCTTATCATGCCAATGAAATTATTTTTGCCAAGAGCAAAGATGTTTAGGCTTTGCCAAATACAATTGGTTCTGCTCTTACCTGTTCTCTGTGTCATGTCATTGAACACTCATTCCTTTAGGAAACTCTTCTCTGGTCTCCTCAATTCCAATCCCTCTTGGCTTATCTTCCTAATAATTCCTTTTCTCCCTGATTTCTTCTCTGCTGCCTGTACCTTAAGTAGATTTTTCCCAAGGTTCTCTTTTCCACTTATTTCTTCTCTACATTCTTTGCAAAGTCATCCTATCCATCCCTACACCCACTGCTTCAAGTAGATGCTGTATCCTGAGAGTTTGAAATCCATATTTCTGGCCTAGATCTTTCTCTAGAACCTAAGGGTCAACTCTGCCTGGACAGCTTCATGGAAACCTGGAGTGTTCACACCCAACAAGAACAAAATCTCCTCCCACCTCCAGACTTGCATTCTCCTGGACTTCGCAGTCAGTTGGTAAATGCAACATCTATTTGGAAGTTACACTTGACTCCTCTTGCATCCATGCTTATACTGAATCTACCTACTTAGTATATCTGGAATTGGTTTATTCCTCCTTATCCCATTTCTAAAACCATAGCTCAGGATTTCATCACTTCTTTTGACAGATTCCATAGGCTTCCAGATTCAACTCACCCTCTAACATCCTGCTACAGTGTTTAGGTGCAAATCTTACCATATCACTCTTTGGCTAAAATCCTTTAGTGCCTCCCTAACAGTTTCAGATTCAAATTCAAATCCCTTAATATGATGAGCATAATCCTTCCCTACTACCTCTGGTCTCTGGCCTCTTCCCACTTGTGCCATTATAGCCAAGTACATGGGTACACTTGGGGTTTCATAAGTTCACTGCATTCTCAGATACTGCCGGCCTCTATACTTGCTCTTTCTGCCACATGAAACACCCTCCCCTGAATTTTAAAACAATTAGTAGTCACTTTTTTGTTTAAAGCTCAATTTAGTGATCATTTTCTCAAGAAAGCCTTCCTGCCCCCTTATTCTGTCTTAGGTAATTTTCCTAGTGTGGTTACTATGTGCTCTTCTCTATCATGACATTTATTAAAACATAATTTTCTATGTAATATCCTATTGAGAAGTCTGTTTGAACACTAGACTAAGATTTTGAAGGCAAGGATTTTTTTAATCTCAGTTCTCCAGTCATACTTTGGCACATATCAGATTCTCACAGATATTTTTTGAATGAATGACATATATATTTGGTTGCCAGATTAACTAGTCTCACAGAGACTTTTAACAGTAATACAAAACATTATGAAATTCATGAGAGCAGTTTCTTCCTAGAAAGGAATAATGCAAAAAAAAAAAAAAGGGCTGTATCATATCTCACCTTCTCCGCTTTTCCTTGCTTGAATGAAGAAGAGAAACCTTTCTGCTTTTCTCAAAATCTGGCAATTGAGTCTTTAATTCAAGCCCAGTGTTACTTCTTAGCAATTCAGAGCTAGAAACAAGAGAAAATCATGTCACAGATTTAAGAGGAAAATCGTCAGGCAATATTAAACAATAAGCACCAATATACTAATCAAAGCTGCTTCTCTAAGTTCCTTGCTTCATGCAAAGGTGCAGTAAATACCAAAGCACTTTACCTTACATGCTTGCTGAAGAATATTTTATTTCAAAGACTCTAAAGAATTTATGATCAAGATCATCACAAATCCATGACTGATCAAAATTCTAAAGTATACAGATAAAGAGTAACGGATACCAGCAGTATTAAAATATTCTGATCTCACTGAATATGACTCCTCCAAATATGACTGTATCGAAAAATTTATAACAGGAACACACCACAAAGGATTAGAGGATCACATTATACTATTCCAACCTGATCAGCAAAGGTCAGATATACTCCATTTATGGATATTTTCTGGCTCTACCATTTTTCTAAAATTTCTCCAGCCATTTTGATTGTTTTTTTTTAAAAAATATATTTCCCTAAGCTTATAAACTAATACTATCTCTTTTATCCCAAGGGACATAACTTCATTTGAAAATTTACTTTTATTTGTAGTGGTAGAATTCTGAGGAAAAACAAAGATTCAAGATAGGAGGGTTCGAAAAGAAGTTGCAAATAACACACGGAAATTGCAAAGCCTCCCAAAATCTTTCCCAACCTCATATTCCAGATAAAGTTTAATACAATAAATCTCTTTCTGGTTAAAATGTTAAGTAAGATCAAGAAACCTGTTGATATTTCTGCACTACTTAAATGAGCACATCTTTGGTCTAACCACACTTATTGGTGGCCGAGTCTTTTCCTTGTTCAAAATAGTAGATGATCACATTTCTACAAATAGTTGATGGTCACATTCTACAAATTCCGGAAGTGACTGACTCAAAACTTTCACCATCATCACTCATGTCCTCATTGCTTATAGCCCTATGCTCTATTTAAAATTAAAATCCCTTTGGGAATCAGCTTAAAGTGAATGAAAGAAATTCACAAAAAATTGAATGTTTATAAGCAGATAAAGCTAGCATTAGAAAGGTCTGACCCCCAGTTCAGCTATCTATTATCCAATGCAGGTCAGAATACCAGTTCTAATATCAATGGGGGTGGCATGGGGTGGGGTGAGGTAGGTGGGGACAGAGATAGAGAGACCTTTTTTAAGGGTTGTTTTCAGCAGCGGGGGGATAGATTCATGAGTTCAAAAAAGACATCTAGGAGAGCTTAGTGGTAGGTGGATAACAACTGAGGCTGCTCTTGTCTGTTTAAATACTGGGGTTATGTGTAAAATTTTTGTCTGAAGAAAATTCTACTGTTTATAGAAAGTTTGAATACCAGTGCTATTAACTAACTCTGATTAATGATAACTCAGACTCTAACACATCAAGTGTTGGGGAACTTACTATCTTGCAAGTCACCCTGGTTCCCCTGGTCAGATATGATTGTTAAAAAGTAGCTCGGTCGGTTAAGTGTCCGACTATGGCTCAGGTCATGATTTCATAACTCGTGAGTTTGAGCTCTGCGTTGGTCTCTGTGCTGACACAGAGAGTTCTCCAGAAATTACATAGTAAAAATTTCTATTATGAAAAAGTGAAGGAAAAAAAAAACTAACCAAGCAAATAGATCAGTAGAAAAATATCCCAAGTGTTCACTGCAGGACTTCTGCACAGGTAATCCAGGTTCTTCAGGCTTCATAGAAGATTCATTCTTAACTGAAAGTTTTAAAGGGGGACTATTTTAATTCTAACATCACTGGTGGGGATGACGTTAATCTCACATAAAAGCCCTGAACAAAAAGCAGTTGCCACTTTTTACTCAACAGAGTTTACAAAGCAATATTTTAAAAATATAAAGCAAGTTATAGATTTCAGTTTACAAAGCATGAAGCCACCCAAAATGAAAATACTACATTCTGTTTACTCCAGACACCCTCTTTCAACCATATTTTAGGAATGTAGTGGTAGATGTGCTTAAAACACATTCAACTGAGTTTATTTATTAAGCTCTTATTTATAGGTAAATGTCAGAGACAGAAAATAGGTATGAGTCTGCAGTAGGCAGCTGTATTGTCAAAATATGACATCTGATGTTTTCTTTCTTCCTTTTTTTTTTTTTTCTGTTGCAGCTGCTCATTCTCAGAGCAAAGATGAGATGACCAGAAGCAGACGTGGTTATGACCAATAGGAAGAGTACTAGACAGGTGGTGATGAGCAGCTGCTCTATTTCCACTGAGAACCAAGTAAGAGTTTGCAAAGAGGATTTGGGTTACCAGTTAGCCATTTCCAGGAAGAACTCTGAAACTCAGGAGCTGAAAGCCACTGGAATGTTATTTAACAGACTCACCAATCTGCCCTGAATGTTAAAAAAGGACATGAGAAAAGGAGGGGTGAACTAAGTCCTACATCATCTGGAGTATGAGTTTATACAGGATAACCCTGAAAGTGTTTTTCAGGCCCATTTTATGAAAATCATCATCTAAAAAGATTCCTAGCTAGTATCCCAGGCTTAGAAAACCCATAAATAGTCATTGACCACAATGATTCCAGTAGAATTTAATTTCAGAAATTGGAGTTTGTCCTTTCATGAGCCAAATTAAAGCTAATTTAGCTTAAGTGTTTAGATGCCGGTGATACACATAATACAATGTAGGTGAAGAGTTTTGAAATGTGAGGGCTAATTGGAACATTGACAGTAATTACTTGCGTCTAAAAATCTAAAACAGAAAGGATAACCACCCTGTTAACTTACAGAAGTAAACTAATTTAAGAGCCAGGGTTTTGCAAAGAAGAAAGTGTGATAAGATTTCAGGTTAGTGGCCCCGGCTTTCAGACCCTCATACAATGACACAGCATGATTAGTTCCCTCTGAAAGAACAAGAAACGATGGGAATAGGTGGTACTAGGTAGGGCACCAAAAAGAAAAATCCCGTGCCTGCCGCAGCTCTGGTTCACCCTTGTGCAACACGCTTTACACTTTGGAAGATGTAAATTCTTTCTTCACAGGTAGGGAACATGTTTCCTTTTATTTTATTTACACTTTTCTTCCTTCAGACTGTGATTAATAAGGATTACATGTTCTTTACATTACAAGCACACAGTTAATCTTCAGCAAATAAAAGGGATATGTGGGATACCAACTTAAAAATAGTTTTTGTAGAATTAGAATTTTTCAAAACTTTGGAAATTTGGTTTTCACTCACCAATACTTGAGAAATAGGTTTTCCAGTATTTTACCACAATACCCATTTTTTCGATTGTCAGTGGTTCAGTTAAAGTAATATCAGCTCCATGCCCTGAAACACAACCTAAGAATTTTTGTGTTAAAGATTGACCTTATGACTTCTATTTACAGAAAAAATATAATACATACAGAAGGCACATACCTTTGAAGTTTTCCGGGGTTATAAAAACAAACAGCAAATGTATATTTTTCTTCTTGCCAAATCTGAGAGGAAAAAATGTTAAAATGAAGCAAAATCACCATTTAAAATATTGGGATTCAGTATTTTACCTTAAGAACTAAGCTGGAGTGATTTTATTTCTTTAGAACTTAACATGGTGGCATTAATGTAGAAATTTAGTAAAAGTAGTATCTCAAATTAGCAATGGAGAAAAGATGGACCACCTTGCTTAAAAAAAAAAAAAAGCTTAATTTTTATCCATGTTATTGAGCTAATCACCAGTTTACAAGAAATTTAAGAAAAAGAGAAATATTTTAAAGAATGCTGTGGGGATGGAGCGCCTGGGTGGCTCAGTCAGTTGAGCATCCAACTCTTGATTTCTGCTCTGCTCATCATCTCACAGATTGAGTCCCAAGCCCAGGCTCTGTGCTGACAGTGAAGGGGCCTGCTTGGGATTCTCTCTCTCTCCCTCTCTCTCTGCCCCTCCTCTGCTCACACTTTTTCTCTCTCTCTCAAAATCAATAAATAAACTTTAAAAATGCTGTAGGGATGAAATCAGCAAAATCTAGAATGTGAGAAACTATGAGACAAATGGCTCCTTTAAAAAATACATATAAATAAAGAGTAAGACCAAAAAAAAAAAAAAAAAACCAAACACAGAGGAAAAGGATAATTGAATCTTGATTTGTATAAACTAACAGTTTAAAAAGAATCATAAAATGGGTAGCTGGCTGATTCAGTCAGAGAGGCATGCAACTACTGATCTCGAGGTCATGAGTTCAAGCCCCACATTGGTGTTAGAGACTACATAAATAAAAACCTTAAAAAATTTTTCTAAATTATAAACAGAAAAATTTGAACACTGAATACTTGACAATATTAAAGAATTGTTATTAATTTTCAGGTATGCATTGTTATTGGGGTTATTTTTTTAAAGGAGTCCTTATCTTTAAGAGGTATTTGTTAAAGTACTTATGGATGGAAAAAAAATGATGTCTTACATTTGCTTTAAAAGAGTTCACCCATTGAGCAGGGGTGGGGCGACCAGAAGGACCACAGATGAAACCAGATTGGCGATGTGTTGATAAGTGTTAAAGCTGCATTATGGGTACATGCAAGTTCACTATACTATTCTCTCAACTTTTATATGCTTGAAATAAAAAAAAAAGAAATGTAGTATTATAATAAACTATAATTAGGAGTTCAGTAAGTTGACATTTCTGATAATTTAATGGGTATTGAAATTTGGCATTGATTAAAAGGAAATTATTTTCCAAGGAGACTATTAGTGTGAGCCACACTTCAAAGAGAACAGCTAAGGGTGCCTGAGTGGCTCAGTCAGTTAAGTATCTGATTTTGGCTCAGGTCATAGTCTGGCAGTTTGTGAGTTCAAGCCCTGTGTCACACTCTGTGCTGACAGCTCAGAGCCTGGACTCTGCTTCAGATTCTGTGTCTCCCTCTCTTTCTCTGCCCCTCCCCTGCTCATGTTCTGTCTCTCTCTCTCAAAAAAAAAAAAAAAAAAAAAAATTAAAAGTAATTAAAATAAAGAGAACAGCGAAACTGCCTAAGAAAAAATAACCTGTCTTTAATACATAAAGCATCACTTATTACATTAATATATGGTCATGTGTGGTTATTATTTATTCCTTAAGACAGAACCTGGAAGAACCCCCACTACATAATATTGTTATATTATCTTATATATTGTTATATTATCTTATACATGCATTTGAAAATAAAGATACATTATGCTATGTTCCAAATTACATTATAGTTGATCCTTGAACAGCATGGCTTTGAATTATGCTGGTCCACTTATATGTGGCTTTTTTTGGATAAAGTACAATACAGTAGTAAATCTATTCTTTTCCTTATGATTTTCTTAATAACATTTTCTTTTCTTTGGCTTGCTTTATTGCAATAATACAGTATATAATATATAACACACAAAATATGTGTTAATTGACTGCCAAATTATCAGTAAGGCTTCTGGTCAACAGCAGACTATCAGTAGTTAAATTTTGGAGGCAGGGGGGAGTTGAAAGTTACACGTGAATGAGAACCACATTTGAATTGAGAAAGACTGAATAAATCAGATTGCCATTCCAAAAGTGGGTGAGTTTCATCTAATTAAGTGAAGATCTAAGTAGAACAGAAGTCTGAGGAGCTCCCCCAGCCTGACTACTGAGCTGAGACACTGGCCTTTTCCAGCCTTCAGACTCAGACTGAAATATTGACACTTCTTGGGTCTTGAGACTTCCAGCTTTTCAAATGAAATCTATACCATCAGCTTTCCTGATCCTTAGACCTTTGGATTTGGACTGGAACTAAACATTGGCTCTCCTGGGTCTCTGGCTTGCCAACTACAGATCCTGGGACAGCTTGGCTTTCACTACCGCATGAGCCTCTTCCTTAAAATAAATCAATGTCTCTCCCTATCTCTAGATAGATGGGCAGATAGATGATAGATCGCCATCCTACTGGCTCTGTTTCTCTGAAGAATCCTGATTAATATAGCCACACTGTGTTTATCCATTCATCTGTCTATGGACATTTGGGTTGCTTCTACCTCTTGGCTACTATGAATAGTGCTATGAACATGGTGTGACAATATTTCAGAAACATCCTTACAGACACACCCAGAGGAATGTTTTTCCAAATATCTAGGCTTCCCATGGCCCAATCAAGTTAACGTATAAAAAATAACCATCACAGGGGCTCCTGGGTGGCTCAGTCGGTTAGTGTCCAACTTTGGCTCAGGTCATGATCTCATGGTTTGTGGGTTCAGGCCCTGCATCAAGCTCTGTGCTGAGAGCTCAGAATCCTGCCTCAGATTCTGTGTCTCCCTCTCTCTCTTGTCTGTTCCCTGCTAGCACTGTCTCTTCTCTCTCAAAAATAAATAAACCTTAAAAAAATAAAAAAATAAAATTACCCATCACAGTGTTATATAAAATGAAATATATTACTCAGCCTTAAAAAAGAAGGAACAATCTGTTAAATACTATAATATGGATGAAACTTTAAGACATTAAGTAAAATAAGCCAGTCACACACAAAAAAATACTATATAATTCCACTTATAGGAGGTATCCAAAGTAGTCAAATTCATAGAAATACAAAGTAAAATGGTGGTTACTAAGAGTTTTGGGAGGGGTAAAGGAAGACTTGTTTAATAGGAATAAAATTTCTGATTTGCAAAATGAAAAAGTTCTGGAGACATATTTCACAACAATGTGAATACATTTAACACTACTGAACTGAACACTTAAAAATGGACAAAGATGGGAGGCACCTAGGTGGCTCGATGGGTTAAGCATGTGACTCTTGATTTTGGCTTTGGTCATGATTTCGCAGTTCGGAGGGTTCAAGCCCTGCGTGGGGCTCCACACTGGCACTGCAGAGACTTCTTGGGATTCTCTCTCTTCCTCTCTGCCCCTCCCCTGCTTGTGCTCTCAAAATAAACAAACATTTTTAAAAAATGGACAAGATAGTAAAATTTGTGTGATGGGATTTTACCACAATAAAAAAAATATATCCCCACAAAAAAAGGTATCCATGGATTTCCGACTGTGCAAGGCATTTGTGCCCCTAATCCTCATGTTGTTCAAGGGTCACTGTATATAAGATTTACATATCTGAGTCATATATATTGAGAGCCTACTATATGTCAGACTCTGTGCTCGGCTCTGGGGGATACCATAAACAGACAGGAAGACAAGGTCTCTGCTCTGATAGAGTTTACAGTTTCTTGAAAAGGTCAGACATTGAAGAAATCACTGCAGATAATTAATGAAGAAGTCAAATATGTACCCAGTGCTGTGAAGGAAAGCCACAGGGCCAGTGGGAGTACATACTTGGGAACTAACCCACTCTGCAACCTCAAGCTTCCAGGAGGAAACGCCTCTGTGGCTGAGTAGGGGTTAGCCACACAAAAGGTAGAACTAGGGGAGAGCAGAAGCAGATAAGCGGTAAAGTACACCCAGGATAAAGAGAACAAACCCTGGGGAAAGGCGTGGGGTATAGAGAACAGGTAAGTTTGAGAAAGTGAAAAATGTCCAATATGGTGCAGAGCATCTGAGGAGGGACACATATGATGAGACCAAAGAAATACATAGGCCTTTGGGCCAAATTAAATATTTGGTACTTTATTAAATGGACAATGGGAAGCTATTAAGACATTGGCATGATTGTATTTGCATTTTAGAAAGGACATTCTATGATGGCCTGGACAGATAGAGGGTGGTAATGCAGGGTGGATTTAAGAGACCATACTGCAGTTAGGCAGGCAAGAACTGATGGTAGAAAAAAGTAGACATACTCGAAAACTTTCTTTAAAAAAATATTTCTGGGGCACATGGGTAGCTCAGTTGGTTAAGCGTCCGATTCTTGGTTTCGGCTCAGGTCATGACCTCATAGTTCATGAGTTTGAGCCTTGTATCAGGCTTCGTGCTGACAGTGCAAAGCCTGCTTGGGATATTCTCTGTCTCTCTCTCTGCCCCTTCCCACTCACTCTCTCTCAAAATAAATAAACTTAAAACTTAAAAAAAATTGTTATAAATAAATAATTCTGAATATTTACTAATTACTTCAAACAAGCAGGATTAGTGCTAACATATGACATTCACACAACAGAGGTCTCTTTAGGCTTGATTCTGCTCTATAAATTCAGAGGAGTTTGAACTAAAAGAGAAAAAAAAGGAGAGAATGCACACTTCTAAAAAGAAATGAGAAGCTCAGGCAGAAATAATGCCATCAAAACAGGCATACACGGGAGGAGCATAGGATTAGACCGGCAGACTGGACACGAAAGAAGGAAAGGCACATGAGCATATTGGTATGGGAGGGCATGCTGGCGTGGTGGGGGACAAGAATGTCACTCACCCCAGTGTAAGTATTTCATGTATATTTGTAAGTGGGGTATAATGGAGGTATGATTCTTGGATGAGGAAACAGAAATGGCAGGGAAAGATGCACTAACAAATAGGCCCACAAAAAGAAACTTACAAGTTTTTAGTTTAGTCCAACTTTTGGAATAAAAAATACT